CTCAGGAAAACATGAAATCCCTCACTGTCCCCAGCATCCGAGGCAGGCCTTCCCCAGCCGTACACTGTCCATGGGCAGCCCCGGGCCTCGTCCTTCTCTGCCACTCCCTGTGAAGAGAGGTGGCACGTTGTGTTTGGCTTGTTCACAGCACTGCCCTCCACTACCACACACACATCTACAATCACCAGCATGACAATTCTGTTACATTACCGCTCTGATATCACCACTTCAAGTGAACCAGGAAGCCCAGTTTATAGTCCAATTTGCAAAATTCTGATCACATTGGCAGCTAGCAAATGTCTGGCAAAACCAATCGTCTTGAACTATCACAGGTGGAACAAATAACCATATTCTCGGAAGGCCTTCCGCATAAAATACCGTGGCTGGGAAGCATGAGGGGCACACATGGCCATGGGGCCACAGGCCCAGCCATCATGGAGCTCGCAGAGAAAACAGCAGTGATCCTGAGAGCAGAGAGTTCTGGAACTCTCACTGTGCTCACTTCACCTTCACGAAAGCCCCACTGTCCAAGGCTATTGCCCTCCCCAGTGCAGAGCCAGGGAATGAGGCTTAGAGGGTGGTAACTGCCAGGGAGCCACTCCGCTAGGAAGCGGGGCTGCGTTTCTGACTCTGATATCCCTGCTCCAGAACCTAAGTAGTGACTGTGACGTCACTTCTACCTCCTCAGACCTGGACTGACATAGGACTCTGAGAGACAAAGAACCCAGAGAGACAGGGGGAGAAGAGAATGAGACAGAGAGAGAGACAGGACCCTGAGTGAGAGAGACAGGACCAAGAGAGATAAAGAGAGAACCCTGACAGAGAGAGATAGGAGAAAGATGGAGAGATGGAGAGAGAGAGACAGAGAGAGAGAGACAGAGAACCCTGAGAGAGATAGGAACCTAAGAGAGAGAGACAGACCCTGACAAAGACAGGACCCTGAGTGATAGAGACAGGACCAAGAGAGAGACAGAGAGAGAACCCTGACAGAGAGAGAGAAGAGAGGAGAGAGAAACAGGGAGAAAGAGAGAGAGACAGAGAGAGAGAGAATGAACCCGGAGTGAGAAAGACAGGAACCCAGGAGGGAGACAGAGAGAGAACCCTGACAGAGAGAGACAGGACCCTGACAGAGAGAAAGATAGGAGAGAGAGAGAGAGACAGCAAGAGAGAGAGAGAACCCTGAGTGAGAGAGACAGGAACCTAAGAGAGAGAGACAGGACCCTGAGTGGGAGAGACAGGACCCTGGCAGAGAGAGAGAAGGGGGGAGGGGACCCTGACAGGGACAGGACCCTGGCAGAGAGAGAGAGAGAGAGAGAGAGAAAGAGAACCCTGAACAGATTGGATAAGCATGTAACAGCCACCCAGCCCACAGACAGGGTCACACAAAGGAACAGACCACGGAGGAAAGTCACATGGAAGAAAGGCCCCAGGCTGGAGAGGCCCGGGAGGGTGTCCAGAGGTGAGGCAAGAGTCCCAGGGGAAAGCAAGGACTGGGACAGGCAGACGGTGACGCACCCTCCTAGTGCTGGGACAGAGCTGAGACGCCTGTGTGCCGGGAGCATCCCGGGAGAAGCCAGCCTGGAAGGGGCCTGGAGCCAGGGGCCCTTGAGAGCAGCAAGAGGAAGGGGGCCCAAGCCAGCGCGACGAGGACCACTCTGGCCTCAAAAACAAGAGCAAACAGACCACAGTGACGTCCAAGAAGGTGACCTCGGGTGCCCTCACAGGGTGGCTGTGGGGCCAGGAGGGCGTGGGGCCCCTTGGAAAGCCACACTGGTCTTTCCAGCACTACCGATGGGGCTCCTGACCCGGAGGACCTGGCGTCCCCCAGCCGGGAAACTGCCCTGGACAGCAGATCAACGCGGCTGTGAGCATGAGCTCTGCAGCCACGTGGCCCTGGACAGGACACCTAGCCCCTCGGGGCCATCTTTCCTGAGCAGGCAAACCAGGACGGGCCTGGCCCCTCCCGTGGGGCTACGGAAGGACTGACAGCGGAGGCAGGGCGCCCCGGCCCAAGGCAGGAGGCAGTCAGCCGCACACGGCCGCCCGCAACAGCGGGACGGGGCCACGCTGCCTGAGAGTCTCCAAAAGCAGAAATGGCACAAAGGTCGTGACACTCGCGGGGCAGAGGCCACACGCTGCTGGACCTGCTGCACATCTGGTCAGGTGTCTGTCTGTCTGTCTGTCCCCCATTCCCACCAGCTGCTGGCTTCCCACCTGCGCCCCTTGCCGGGCCCTGGCCCTCACTCTGCACACACACGCATATAGATGAGAGGTATCCGGGGAGGGGCCGCTTCCAGTCTTTCCTTACGCTTTTCCTTTTGAAGCAAATCTGGTTTGATGGTCCTTGCATAGCTGCTCTGACCCCGAAGGGGAAAAGGCGGTCCCAGAAGGAGAAGGAAACTCTGGCAACCTCCTGCCTGGAAGAAGCAGGAGCGCCCGGGCAGTGTACCTGCAGCAGCTGGTTGCCATGAAATGGAATTTATACATGAAAATCAGGAGAGAAGAGGCCCGGGGCACCCCAAGCAGGGCTCTGACGGAGCTGACAGCTAATTAGAAAGTTCCATTTGAGCTTCATGTGGACAAGCCATTTAATAATTAAATGTCTTATCTGTATTAAAATTCCTCTGACAATATGTACTTAGAGTGTGGCCAGAGAATGAATGTTCTCACTTCCATTGCCCCACAAGACACAATATTTGAATCCAAGCATCTCTCCCACTGACAATAAGTGACATTATGTCACATGACTTGTACCAAGAGCATTTCAGCATCAGGGGACTCTTCGACCTGGTTCTTGGATCGATGTGGCACAGAGAGACTCAGCCTCAGAAACAGGCTTGACATGAATATGTCCCTTCACAAGTCACCAAGCCAGGAGGCAGGGAATGGGTGAGGGGCCCGCAGCCTGGTGGGGTGTGAGGAGGGCAGAGCGATCAGCTGGCCTGAGTGCAGCTAAAAGAGGTGAACTGTCTGCAGAGTAAGAATAAAATTCTTAAAATAATAATAAAACACGTATTTTAATGATGATGATGATGATGATGATGATGATGATGATGATGATGAAAGTTGGCCTGATTTCCAGTAACTCCATGTACAAGTAGTCCTAAAGAATATCATTGATAAAATGCTGCTCCCCACTTAGAAGGAGGCTCCCACGGCCATCCCCTCGGCACACCACCACCTCAGCCTTACTTAGTAACCATGACCACAAATGGCCTGAAAGCCCCAGGGCTCCCTGGCCTCCTGAGGGGGGCGGGGGAGGGGGGGGAGGGAAGCCGCAGAGGAGAAACTGGTTCAGAGGGAAGAAAAGACAGGTGCTCTGCCAGTATACAGGGATGGCCAGACAGAGAGGGGCTGGGTTGGGCCCCATGAGCACGCTCCACCCACCCTGCGGAAGCAGGAAACAATAAGGGAAGAGACCGCTGCATGGTCTGTCAAAGCTGTATCCCATCCTGCTGGCAACAGGGGCCGTAATGTCACCAGCAGCCCTAGGTGGGCTGCAAGAGCCATGCAGAGCTGTGGCAGGAGGGTAAACACCAAAGGGACACATGGAAGCCCCTGCAAGGAGACCAGCTTCACATGGAAGGGGGTCAGGGATGGTCCCAGCTGGGACACAGGAGGAGCACTTGGGGAAAGTAACAGGGAGGGAGGCTTAGATCCTCCCGCTGTTTGGTTGGAGCTCCCCTCCTGGGACAACCCAAAACACTGCCTTCCCCTTGACCCCAGGATAGGTCTCAGAAAGCACAAGGCTGCAATTCTGTCTCCCCTTCTGGAACTTTCTCTTGCCATGCAGAGGAGCCAATGAACCCCCAGCAGAGAGTGCACATTCAAAGGAATAAGACCTAGAAGGGAATTTAAACATGCCCTAGTTCAACTCTCTCCTAACCAATGTAAAAAGCCCAGAGAGGTCAAGTGACTTCTCCAATGTCACCCAGCTGGATAGCTAGTGCTCTTTCCACACCCATGCCTGCTATGCTGCTGAGAAGCATTATGGTATCAGAGGGGCTTTGCAGTCAGCGAGTTTGGGTCCAGATGGGCTCTCCTCTTACAGCTGTGTGATGTGGGATATACCACCAGTGCTTTCTGGCCTTGGGGAGCAGCCTGGACTGGTGGCTGGACTGACCGTAAGTGGCTAAGCAGTGCCCCAGTCCCAGACGGCACAGTCCTGGCTTTGGGGTTGGATACAACTTTGCATATCTGGGACGCCTGAGTCACATCCAATAAGACCAAGTACTTCTTGCTGTCTGATAACCATCGGAACTGGCCTGGACTATCATTAAATTTGGGAATGTCAAGGGTCTCAGAAAACACTAACTGTACCTGACACAGCTGTCATCCTGCCCTCAAGGTGCTCTCCATTCTATTGGGTTCAACTGTTGATTTACTGTGGGTTCAACTCCTACCTCTCAGCATGCGGTCCGCAGACCAGGAGGGACCAATCATCCCAGAGCTGGCTGGAAAGACCCCTCCTGGACCTGCTGGGTCCAGATCTGCATTGACACAAGACCCTCAGGTGACTCGGATGCATCTTCAAGCTTAGGAGGCACTGGTTTAAGGCACCGTGGGGACATTCATAGGTGATGGCCCTGGAGACTAGCCAGCACCCCGCACACCATCAGAAACCATCACAGAACATGTGTGACATGGTGCCACTATCCCTCTGCGCTCAGACAGGAGGATGGGGGAGGCTCAGCTCGGCAAAAGCTCAGCTGGAAAGGTTCTGAGTTTCCAAGGAGGGTAAACATAGCGTGCTCCCCCACGCTGTCATGACGCAGCCAGCCGCCGAGTTGGGGAACCTTTACACAGTATCTGGGGGACACAGGTCCTGGGCTCCCAGACCCAGCTCTGCATGCCCACTCGTTATTCCCCAGCCTGGACAGCTGCATGTCAGCTAAGGTCTCTAGTACTTGTTTCCATGTCTCCATTGTGACATACAGATACCAGGAGAGCCTAGGTGTGAAAAGCTGGCCCTGGCCTGGTCCCTGATGGGTGCTCGAGTAGTAACCGCTCTGATTGTCATCTGGGGGTGGGGAGACTGACTGCTTCTCCAAATATCATAAGAGAGCAGACCTGGGCCAGCGAGCCGTGGGTACAAGTCCCAGGACAGCAGTTTGGGCATAGTGCGTGGGAAAACCACCAGCAGCGGGCTCTCCTACAAGCGCCCAGAAGGGCTGGTGCAAGCGTGGCGCACGCGCACGCCGGAGTTTAGAAGAGGGACCGCGGTGGCTGTGCAGGAGCCGAGAGAAGACGGAGAGACACCCTTTCACCTCCTCATTCCTGCTGCTCCAGGTAGGGCACAGCCTCCCCCAAGATGCAAATAGGCATCTCCCACTTCCTATCTCCCAGCAGCAGAACAGACATGGACAGAGCTGCTCTGGGGCGGATGCTACAGCTGGCGGCGAGCCCGGCGCTCTTTCACCAGCAGCAGCTACCACGCATCTCTCACCATGCAACCAAGAAGGATGGCGCCACCGGCCTCCTTCCTAAGCACATCCCAGGGCCCTCGGTGACGCTTTTAACACGCGTCCAGTTCTCCCCACAAACGGCTTAATTTTTACAACAGCCATACTCTCTCTCTCTCTCTCTCTCTCCTCTAAGTGTTCATTTTAGCCCAACTGAACAGAACACAGTGGAAATCCCAAACCAAGTTTGACAGCGATTTCTTCAGAGTGCAACGCCATGGATTGATGAACCCGCCAGGAACAAAGTTCCTTTTAACAAAGACGCTGTTAAAAACAAAACCGAAAAAAACCTTGCACAGCCCCTAAGTATTTATCATCCAGTTACAACGAACAAACAAGAGGAGGGGCGTGGTGCAGGTCATGCAGATAGCTTGGACCATTCCTTGCTGCTGAAAGAAGGGAGAGAGCAAGACAAGTGGGTATCTGTAATTGTGTTCTAGGCAGAGGCAACAGCCAATGTAAATGTCCTGAGGCAAGAGTATGCATAGTGTTCTGGGAAAAGCTGGGATTGTCAGGAAGTCCGGATTAAGAAGAGGGGTGTTAAGGATTTTGGATATCAGATGGAAGGAAGCAGGAAGCCATCAGAGGCTTCATCGTCGGCTGAATAGAGGAGCAACTTTGATTCATAAGATGATACCCTTAAGTTGCTAAGAACAGTGCCTGCGCAGAGTACAATTTCAATTAATATTAGCTATTGTTATACTTTACCCCCTAAATTTCCATTTACTCACCCCACATATGCAAATACACACACCACTCAAAGCCCTTCAGTAACCCCTCTCTACCTACAGAGGTGTCCCAGGTCCTTCCATCTGGGATTCAAGCCCCTCTATGATAAGGCCTAATGCACACTTCCAGCTACCAGCCCAGAACATGCCCAGCTACAGACTCGCTCTCCCTGGATCTGCACACTTCCTCTCTTCTTTGCTTTCCTGTACAATTCCTTTCCTCCTGAAAGGAACCTCCTAACATCCTACCCAAGGTCACATCCATCTCAAAGGCTACCTCCTTCATTAAGGCTTCCCTCATGCATCAGCAGATAGGAGTCATGACTGTACTATTAGCTAAGCTGTGCCACTCACAGACCTTCTTATCCTTGGTGCTGGGCATGTTCCCCCATGGAAGCCCACCCGCAGCCCCTGCCACCACCCATGAGGAAGCTACCTGCCAACTCCTCCACAGGGCTCAGCCAAAGCACTGAACAAAGCCATTATGACTATCCACGGGATAACACAATAAATGCACAGCCTCTGTTTACCCCCACCCACTTGATAAAGACCTAGCCAAGACTCAGCTGAGCAGTGAAGGGGTACCTGCTCTCGCAGGCTCTCCAAGGGGCCAGCTAATTATAAATAAAAAAGGTCAGAGGGGGTAAAAAACGTCCTCTTCCTTAAAGTATAAAAACTCAACGGACAAAAATAAATCTAGCAACTGCTCAGATCAGATCAGAACTGTTCTGATCACCAGTTAAGCCCAAAGGCTTTGGCGTCTCTGTGAGCACAGATAGAGGTATTTCACACACACACACAAACCAGCCACAATAAAAGAGGGGGAGGTTCAAAATCATGCTCAACACCAAACATGCACACGCACATATACACACACACACGCATGCACGCACACCCCACACACGCGCACCTAGCATAGCTGTGTGGCCACGTTCAAGCACTTGTGTCTAGAGAAAGGACACCCCTCACACATAGAGGAAGTTCTGAAGCACCCACAAGGCAAGAGCCAGATGAAAAGGAACTGAGGCCATCCTCACAAAGTCAGCGGTGGGGAGCACTTCAGCTACATCATAGGAGCCTCCGATGACCATGGAGTAATGAGGGTGGGAAACATAACTCACCACCTGTCTTTACAGAAGACATATTAAAGAGCTCTGAACTCCCGCATGGTTTTCTGAAGCAGACAGATGATATGCCAGATCAGACAGGGGTCAGAATCCTCTAGGTGACTGCTTAACCAGATGCAGATAAATCACTGGATCACAGAGCAGCCTCCAGAGGGTCTGAATTAAGGAGCTCAAGGTGAAAATGGGGGCAGGACTCACGAACTGTAGTTACCCAGGTCTCTCGGGGAGGCTCTGGCTTCTCTCTCTCTCAAGCCATTTCACCAGGTTAGCCCCTGCCCAGGGCCAAGAACACAACAGACAAAGCAACAAGCCAGAGAAGCAACTGGTACCGAGAATCTGGTCAAAAGGCCTCTGCCAAAGGACAATTAGCTGGATCCTGGGTCTCATAAATGGCACCTATAATGGACATCCAGTGGGTTTTGTTCTCTTTGTTTTTATCTGCAGCAACTGCACACTCTACTTCATAGTCATAACCCCAATTTTTTTCTCTTGGGATCCATCCCTCCCCAGCTCTGCTGTCATGGTCAGGTAGATAGGAATCCACTCCCAACTCCAGGCCCCATCACCTGGCCATAGTGGCTGGTTCAAGATGGCCACAGAATTCATCAAAACCGATATAATGATATGAGACTCTGGGGACATAGGCTAACACTCTTTCCTGTGGACTTGGAGTTAAAGGCTGGAGTTTCTGCAGCCCCCTCAGAGCATGAATGGAGAAAGTACTGAGAATGGAGCCAGCGTGGAAGACTTTAGAGGAGGGAGGGACAGAGACAAAAAGACTGGATGGATGGATGGATGGAAGGAAGGATGGATGGATGGGTGGATGGATAGATTGGTGATTGAATAAATGAATGAATGAATGAATCATCACCTGATGAATGAAACACCCTGGTAACATCATCTGAGCCCTTGATCAGGCCTCATCTAATTTAAACTCAGGTCTGCCTGATTCCAAAGGAGGGAAGAAAGTTAATGGGTACTGAGTATTGCTGGACACAGTGCAAAGATTATTGCATTTAATATTCACAATAACCCTGTAAGGTAGGCTTTCTCCTGTGCCCCACACCCCACCTTATTTTATTTGTAGATAAGGAAGCTAAGGTTAAGGAGGTTTTGTAACTGTCCCAGCTCAGCCGATTCACTAGCAGCAAAACCACGCCCAAGGGACACCTCCAAGGCTGTGATCTTCCTGCTGTCCACTCCACCCTGGGCAAACAGGCCAGAGCCCCAGGCCAGAGCTCTGGAGCACACCCTTAGAGGGCAGTGGGCCCAGGGGAGTTCACCTTTTGATTACTGAGCTAGAGGAGGGCTTCCAGGGAAACATCTTTGTGAGGCACTACCGGGCATGATGTTCTTTGGGAGATGAACGCCTCACAGGGCTGCAGAAACCAGCCGGCAAACATGCGCACTCATCTAAACTTTCTGAACAGCAGCGATTCTCACCCTTCCGTTGTACAAGAGGGAGCCCCCACAGTCCTCCGAGGTGATTGCCAAGGGTACAGGCCCAAGCCAGGAAAGTCACAGTGCGGTAAACACCATCAGGAAGGTGTCAGAAACGAAAGACAAAGCATGTTATATCAGGGAGAAAGGACCCCACCGCTCCTGGAGATGCGCCTACGGCACTATCGGCTCACACCGCCGCCACCGTGAGGGAGGATGACATGCCACTGGCAATGTGTCACAACAACAGCAAGACAGCAATGTGTTATAAGACGTGAAACCGTGGCATTATTTTAACTCTATTCTTGGTCTGTGAAGACTCAGCCTCCTTTGTTAAAAGGATGCGGCTGTCTTTCCCCAGGGAGGGCAGGGCAGCCTGCCAAGGATGCCACCTCTGGTCCCTGGGTCTCCCTTGTCGCTGGGTACCTCACACCTAACTATACCACACAAGCCCCCAGAGGTCTGCTGATTGCCCTTGACATCCGAGCCCATTTGGTCATGGGCCAGTTCCCGTTCTCTAGGACGCAGCTCTTCACTGCCTGAAGAGGAATAATTGAGAACCACAGGAAATCCTAAAGAAAACAAAGGGAAAAGAAGGAAGCACACTAGTGCCCTCCTCCAAGGTCTGGCTGGGCAAGCTTGGCACCCCCACCCTGCTGGCAGCCCCCCCGCCAACAGCTGGAGGCCCCTGCCTATCCGCCATGCTGCCATCCCAGCTAAGAGGGGCATGAGCTGGTGGAGGAGAGGGAGCCCACCAGTGGGGCCGGCACTCAGGATAAAGCAGGAGCCGTGCTGGGGCGGGGAGACCCCCACCCACAGCAGAGGGGGCCTCGAGCACCCCACCCACATTCCACCCTCTGACATGAGGGCAGAGACAGAGGCCGCTGCTTGAAGAGAAATCAAAGGGTGGGGCACGAGTCTGGGAGAAAGCAGGAATCCTAAATGAGGCACAGTTGTGCCTGGGTCGTTCCTGTCTCGAGCACTGCCCTCCTCCCCCCTCTGTCCAGGAGATGCCTCCTTTGGGAAGTCCTCTGTGACTTCCATCCTTCTCCTCTCTCTACCCAATCCCTCTCCACAAACAGAGGCTGTGCCCTCCCCTAGGGCTACATGAGCACCTGCTAGGTCCCTGCATGAAGCACTTTCTGGAAGATAAGCAGAGGAAATAGGAGTAGGGGGTAGGCTCCCTCTCCTCAGCTACCTGGGTTTACACTGCAGCTCTGCCACTTTTGTCATTTAAACTAAGTCACTTGGCCTCCTTGTACCTCACTCTCATCATCTGTAAAATGGGGGAGAATGACATTGACAGATGAAAGAAATCATTCATGGATTTCACTGATGTTTCTCTTTAAAGAGCCACAGAAGGAAAATGAGAGATGACTGATCAGCTCCCGGCTCGTGCAATAAATGTGAGCTTTTGTATCTTTAACTTGCCCTTTTCTTCCATGGAATGGAGAGCTCCTCGGGGACACAGGCTGGTTGTCACCCCCATCTGTGTCCCCAGCACGCAGCCAATTCCACTTCCCCAGTAGCAGCACAGAATGACAACTCTTCAGGGCCAATAGGAATGGTCAGAAATGGAGCAAGGGACACAGGTCACAACTAAGAGCCACATTTGGGGCTCAGTGGTCCTGTTTCCAGTGTGGGTCCAGGGTCAGGGAGCAGTGACACGAACAGGTGCCTTTACTTCTCTGAGCCTCAGTTTCCTCACCTTTAAACCCGAGTTAAAAATGACAACCTCAGGGCACCTGGGTGGCTCAGTCAGTTAAGTGTCCAACCTCAGCTCAGGTCATGATCTCCCAGTTCGTGGGTTCGAGCCCCGCGTCGGGCTCTGTGCTGACAGCTCAGAGCCTGGAGCCTGCTTTGGAGTCTGTGTCTCCCTCTCTCTCTGCTGCCCCTCCCCCACTCACATTCTCTCTGTCTCTCTGTCTCTCTCTCTCTCAAAAATGAATAAACACTAAAAAAAACCTTTTTTAATGACAACCTCACAGGGTCACTCCAAGGACTAAATGAGAGGGTGTTTCTAAAGAACGTAGCACAGTACCTGGCCCACAGTAAGTCTCAATAAAGGTAATGGGTTCTGTCACTTCTCGTAATGGTAACGCTGGATTACTATCAATAATGAGCAGTGGGTACCCTGAGGTCATCTGCAGCCACAGCTACTTTCGCAAGAGGAACTTAAAGGAAAAAAGCAGGACAGAAGGACTGCCTCTGAGATGCTGGGGGAGGAGAACTGCCTTCCCACTCGGGGCCCAGATCAGAAGAAAGTTCTGGAAACATCCTGGCAGGGACCCTTTCCAGGGAGAAGCTGTGGGCCCCTGCCACTCTCTGCATCTCTTCTCTTAACTCTGCCTATCTTCCCTCCTTACACCCTCAGCCTGTCACACACAGAGAGGAAGGCGTGAAAGGTTGGAGTCTAGAAATTAACATTTCAAAGTCAACGTTGGATATGTGCTGCCTCCCGCTTCCTGAGCAGCATGTGCGGGAGCCCCAGCACAGAGGAGGGTTGCGGGGCGGATCTGGCGTGTGCAATCCCCACAGCTTTTGTGCCTGATCAGCCATCTCTCATCTTTCTTCTGCAGCACATTAAAGAGAAACATCACTGACAAACCTGCCCTAGCCAAGCTAAGCCCACACTCAAACGCAGCCCTGCCCTCTCTGCTAAGGAAGGGATGGAGAAAACTTTGGTCTCCTCTCCTCCTGCAGACCTCTGTCAGACCAGACAGGCCAGAACTGGGGAGGAAGGGAACAGTGCATTCAGCCCAGTCTGCTCAGACACCCATCTAAGCAGCCATTCAGTCAGACAGCTACGGACCTCCGAGACTGGCCAAAGGAAGCACAGAAAGGCATCCATCACTTGTTCATTGATCCACTGTCTATTCAAAAACCACTATAATTAGATTTCACCTGTAAAGTATTTGTTAGCTCATCCTCTGCCCCTCTGAGAATCATGCCTGGGGGGAAGGCACAGAGACTGCTCTCTGGCCCACACCCATGCAAGGGTGTCCTTCAGCCCCTCAGTCGTCGTCAGAACAGTCACAGTGACGGAGACTCTCCTGAGAGCCCTGAGAACGACACAGGGGGAAAGCGGACAAACTTTACAACCATTTTGTAAAACAATTTGCTAAGAGCCAGTAAAGTTGACAATGCTCATGGCCCGCGTCCTAGCAACCCCGCTCCCAGGAACTCACCTAAGAAACTCTCCCAAATATGCACCAGGAAGCACACGTGAGGATGTTCTCAGCGGCACTGTTTCTGGAAACCAGTCAAACATACACCATATGTACATCGTGGGAATTTCTACAGTGGTGAAAATGCATGAGCCACAGTCCCCCATGCTCCCATGGGTGAATTTCAGAAACATAAAGCTAAGTTTAAAAAAAAAACATATTGTAGAAGAATGTACACCATTTCATTCCTTTTATAAAAAGTGAAAGAGTAGGTAAAACTTAAAATAACGCTTACATACATACACATGTAGTAATACTACAGAGAAAATCAAGAAAATTATGAACCCAAAACTCAGTGTGTGTATCCTTCTGTCGCTGGGAGGCTGGGGTGGGCACGGAGGGGACAGGAAGGGCAAGGACCTTCCAACAGCACCATGATGCTCTGTTGCTTAAATAAGCTGGCAAATTCATGGATATTCATTTTATTATTATGCTTTGCCACTAACATATACATTATTTATAACACGTTATGAATATTCTTTTGTATTATGAAAAATTCACTTAAATGTCATTTTTGAAAAGAGGGCTGGCGATAATATGGGGAGGGCATCTGAAGGCAAGAAAGGACTGGAACTCCCAGGAACTGCTGAAGCTGAACCAGGTGCCCGCTAACCTCCTGCCAGCCACATGTTCAGGTTACAACCACCACAGACACGAATGAGCAGTTAACAAAGTGGCTTTTCCTGGTGCCCAGCGTGTCATCAGCACGTGCTCATCTCTCATACAGAGATTATTTCAG